CACACGCACACACAAACATACACACACCCATCACTGCCTACCTCCGAATATTGACCTTGAAATGAGCCAGTGGCTATCGTTATGTAATAAATTTTTTTTTTCACTGTATGATATGTATGAGCATGACTAGGAATATCCGAAAACAATTGTTCGCTCACCGACTCGTTTTCTCAATGTTATTATGGGAAAGCCCCTTTCTTTGATTCTTCGCGGACGGGATCAACCAAGGACCTTCGTCTGCTATGCAAGGCAATAAATTTCTCTGGATAACCATTATTCAGTAACTTCCTTCGCAGGAAGGCCTCTTGTTCTTGAAGTGTGTCAGGAGAGTAAACAGTCCTGGCACGATGAAAAAGAGTTTTCACCAGACCTCTTTTGTATACCACAGAATAAAAAGTAGGAAATTGTATTACCCACTCCATGAGGTCTTCAGATAGACGGATAGTGGCAAGGTGAAATCTAAACGCTCGCTGCTTTTCATACATAAAACATTCAACCAACCAAATATCCTTTTCCTCCTCAAGGGAAACTGAGAGATTGGGATGAACGGTATTAAGTATTAAGTAGTGCAAAATTGGTGTTTAAAACGATGAGGGTAGGTAAAAATCAAAATGTCATCGAGATAACGTTTCTACCAAACAACCTCTGAAGAATTTTCCTTCATAGGTCCTTCAGTCATTTCTCGATATCCGTTAGCTAATGTTGGGCCCACGAGACTGCCCATTGATACACCATCGAGATGTTTATGATTTGTTCATTCAGAATCAAAACGTATTTTCTCAGTGCAAACAATCATAAGATCTTTTAAACAATCAGTGGGAATAGGAAGATGAATAATAATTGAAGAGATATAATCACATAAAAACTCTGGCCTTTCATACACAGGAATGTTTTCAAAATAGCTGTGATTTCGAGAGGTATGATGTATTAACATTCAAAAGGGTATAGATAATTCCAAGTTTCTGATAGCAATGGAATATGTGAAATAAGCCGACCAAAAATTTGTGCTTCGAAAGATTTATAGAATATCGTTTAGTTTGAGTCATATTTTATTTTTAAAATAGTAGCATCACAGTATAAAAATAAGACCGAGTTGTGAAGAATCTACAAACATCAGCAGTTAACCAAGGCTCTGGTATTTTAATTCCATGGTTTACATTCATTTGAGGAGATTTTGAATATTTGGTTGCTACTTTTGGACGACAAACATCAATAAATGTGTTGCGCAGTGTATGAATAACCGAATCTCAGTGAACAAATGTAACAAATTCGGGCTCCAGAGAGCATACAAGAATTCCTATTGTATATTTTTCCATTGCACTGTTTCGCATTTCACAAAGAACATATTTTAATGATGAAAACATTTACCCACCACTCCTTCAAATCTGTATGTCAGCTTTTTGCTCATCCTCATCATCCTGTGTTATTCCATCAGCGATCAACGAAACCCCTACGTGACGCACCCAATGTTCATAATTCACCCCAGGTTCCCCAAGTACCCAGTTCAAGCCGAACACAAACGAAGTCTGCGATCAACCGCTGTCTTTCATGTAGTGAATACCATGTTCGTTCGACTTGTTGATTCCGTAATGCTACTTGCCATACATGCGGTAAGATGGGCCATATCCGCAACGTATGCCGAACGCCCAAGTGCAACCTCATCGACTCCCATATCCCAACGGCAGATGAGAACTCAAGTCCAATCTACATGCTGCACACCACTCAACCCAATGGTCAGTTCGTGTTCACCCCACTGATGTTCGAGTCTGGTGTGGAGCATTGATTCATCATGGACACAGGAAGCAGCGAATCTATCCTACCGAAATCAGCACTCAATGCGATCTGTCCTAATGCTGTTCTAGCCCCGACTTCTGTGCGCATTCATGGGGTTACTGGTCATCAGTTGCAATTACTTGGCGAAACGATGTTATGCGTTCAATCTGAATCCGGTGTGTCAATTCCAATCCGATTCCTGGTATCAGCCCACAGTCCGTCTATTCTGGGTCTGCGAGCAATGCGGCTAGTACAAGGAATCATCACACTACATACCAACAACGATATGTCAATCACCTCACATCTTCAACATTTGATTGTACAGTGTTCCGGTAACGTTGGTGGCATGAAAGTACCGTCGGTAAAGTTGGAAGTGGACGGTGAACCTATTTTCCTAAAACGACGCGTCCTCCCATACGGTCAACGGGAAGGTGTTCTGAAAGCATCACAGAAAATGGAGCAGGATGGGGTGATAATCGAAACTGAATCCAGTGCCTGGGCAACCCCGATCGTCGTGGCGATGAAAGGTGATGGTAGGATACCACGGATCTGTGGAGACTATCGACTAACATTGAATCCCAGATTCCGGAGATGTGCAGCGACCACCATGAAACCAGAGGATTTCATGAATTCATTGCATGGGTGCCAGTATTTTTCCAAGATCGATTTGGTGGACGCATACCTACAGATTCCACTCGATGTCGAATCTCGCTACTTGACAACAATCAACACGCCGTGGGGAATGTACCAGTACAATTTTCTCCCATTCGGAGTGCATGTGTCGTCTGGCCTCTTTCAATCGGTAATAGACAGTGTAATCAAAGGACTCGACGATGTGCTTGCATATCAAGATGACGTCCACATTTTCGGTCTTAATAAGAAATAACACGATACCCGTCTTACGCAGCTACTGGAACGATTCTCCGCCAGGAAGGTGGCTATCAAGCCGTCCAAGTGTGTGTTTGGAGTGAGTGAGTTGGAGTTTCTAGGACTCACAGTTGATTCCCGTGGATACCATCCCGATCCGACACGTTTCAAATCATTGACTAACATCGAATCTCCAAAGGATCAAACGCATTTGAGATCCGTGATGGGATGTCTACAGTACTATTCCCGATTTATCCCGAACTTTGCTACAAGGGTGCAGCGGCTTTTCCGTGCTCAGTGTTCAGACGCTTGAGAATGGTCGGTAGAGTGTGAAGATATCTTACGTGGTTTAATTCGCTGAGTTACTGATCGTCCTCTGCTGGCCCCGTTTTCACCATCGAAACCTACTATACTCATCACCGATGCGTCCGACGTCCGAATGGGTGCTGTATAAGAACAACAAGGATGCCC